AAAGAAAGAAAGAGAAGAAAAGAAAAAGAAAAAGAAAGAAGTTATTCTGTATTTCTTTGTGAATCTCTTTAAGATTCAGTTTAATAAAAGTCAGTGGAATTGTTCTATCTGCTTCTGGAGCCAATCCTTCTCAATAAATTATTCTGTTAAATATCCCAGTAATCTAGTCCACCAGTATGTGCAGTTTAAGAGTCTCGTGCTCTACTGACTGAGCTAGCCAGGCACCTGATATGTGCAGTTTAAAATGGAGTGTCGCCTGGAAGCGCCTGGCCCCTGGCGGGCCTCAGAAGCTAGAGTCTTGCATCCCATTGTGAAAGTCGCTGCTCTACTGATGCCGAGTTGGAAATATTATGTCTGAGTTTAGAAAGCTCATCAGGCCACACTTAGTGTCCACATTTAATCTGCATTAAGTTTTGAGTGTGTGCATGCTGTCAGATCTAGTACAGTTGCTGTGAACCTTGAATTAACTGAGCATATGCTGCTCATTGTAAGGCAAATACTGTATCTGAATCGCTGGTCAGGTTTTGGAAAACTCATAAATACTTAACCTTCTCTGAGTGTCTGTTCAGATGGACCTTACTCAATACCTATTTTTGATTCATTAACATTGAACTCTTGGCCAACAACACGTTATCTCAGGCCTGAACAAGGCTGATTTCAAATCTGTTTTTATCTCTACAAGGCACCCCTCATAAGGGGCCTTTCTTGCACGTGGGAACACCAGTGGGCCCTTCAGTACAATGCTCAGGGAACATTTTTAATAGCAAGATCTCCATGAAAAAAAAAAAAAACAACAACAAAGTACAACAACAACAAACCTGTACATGTGACACGATACAAATAAAGTGCTAAATCAGGTCTAGCTCACAGTAAAAGCTGAAATAAGGCAAGACATCACCCTGCGTAAGTTACAGCAACAATGGCAAGTAATGTCTTTTCTGGTTCTCAGTGGATCCTTACACGGCTCCAACAGAGCTGCCTAAAGGTTTGGAGGCTTACAGATAAATATGGCAGTGATTAGGCCAGTTCACAAATCCAGGGTCCATGAATACTATCGAAATACTTGTCCTGGGCCAGCCAGATAGCTCAGCGGATTAAAGCACCTCAAGCAGGCACAGGGCTCAGGGGCTCAAGCCCAGGCTGCTGTGCCAGCCCTGCCCTTGGGGTGTGCTGAGATGGCAATTGAGACTGGGCATGATGGTACGGGCCTGTGATCCCAGCTCTTGGGAGGCTGTAAACAGGAGGATCACTATGAGTCTGCTCTAGTAGTGAGACCCTGAATACCCTATAGACCCTTCCTTATAAAATACAAAATAAATAAATAAATAAAACAGATAAATAAATACTTGTGCTATGGTTTGGATCCAAAGTGTCCCCCAAATCCCCATGTGTATGAAAAGTATTTTGATCATGGGGGTGC